ATATATATATATATATATATATATATATATATATATATATATATATATATATATATATATATATATCTTATCGTGTATTTTATTTCTTATAATGCCAATCCATACTTACACTCGTATTTAATACTCGGTACATGATATTGTTACAAAACTGGACATGATACGTCGGCAGTCCGGTTGTCATCCGTCGACACCTGACACCTTAAACCACTAAAGAAGTCAGTCTGGCCTTCGAGACCGGTGAAGCTGTTAGATTCAACATAATACTTTTATTTAATATATTGTTTACGATCCATGTGCACTGGGTATATGTCTAAATACTGTCGAATCAGGTCGGGCGTTTTGTGTCGTTTTGATTTACTTTATACTTGAATACTGAAACAGAAACTCCAGTACTTGGCTTAGATAAGCACTTTGCCCCGGGGACTTTGCCGCGTTCCCGAGACTTGATTATTTCCCGGGGGGCAATTGATACATAGCTGGGTAGGGAGGTGCCCCTGAGTGCTCAAAAGCGTGACCATTTTTATACCTGGATAGTGGCAAAATCTATACCCATATTTCTGTCATCACTGTTTATTTCAAATAAAACAGTTACCGTATTTGCTCTACTAGAAGAGCATCTCCAATAGAAGCATGTGTAAGCCAACAGTTGCATTGTATATTGATTTATTAAAATATGTATTTTGACCATAGAAACACCTCTGTCACTTACATAAGAGCATATTATTAACACAATGTTCAGGTTATTTGTACCAAATCAGAAAAATATTACCGATATTTATACCTATCTTGACCAGAAATAAGACCGATACTTATACCTAAAATCCAAAAAACGAGACCCATTTCAGGGGCACGTCCCCGTTAGGCAAGTTCTATGTATTGCCCCCCCCCCCGGATTATTTTGGACCGACTCCCAGAGTGAAGGTGTGTATTCTATGCATTTCTATGTATTCTATGTCATTTTCTGCATAAATAACACCAACCTACCGTTAATCACGATACCGATTTTAGGCAATATGATGCATTGTAGCTCACGGAATTTCTATAATACACAGTGCTATGATACATCTGCGCACAGTAGGCACAATGTTATCGTGCATATATTGGCCGTAGCTCAATTTAAGGTAAGAAATGGATCGTTGAAATGGACAAGGCAGAATTTGAAGTGTCGAAAAAACCAATAGACCAATAGAATCTTAATAAAAATAAAAACAATGGTTTTCACGCATACAATTGGAGATATTACAAGTATAAACTCAGACAACTTATAAATGTATTAGTTGTCTGAGGTATAAATGGTGATTTTTAGTACGGATAGAGATGAACATTTCAAGAATACAAATGGAGATTTTAAGAATACAAATAGAGATTATACAAATACAAATGGAGATTTTACAAATATACTGGGGATTTTACGAATACAAACCTTGTGCCCCGCCACTGTAAAGAAAAACTTGTGGTTACTTTCAACACTGCAGTTTGCTGGAGTCTGTTAAAAAACGTGTCTCAATTTCGATTATTTTTTCAGCTCATAACAATAAAATCAGTTCATTTAGAACTATCATGT